CTTTCCCTCCTGCAAAAGGGGTCACAGTAGGCCCAAGACCACGCTCTCATTCAGACGACCTTTGAGGTTGCCCTGTGCACTCAATTTATCTGGCATCCCACTCTGTAAACAGAGACATGGGCTCATGGAGAAATGCTGTAGGCCCTAAAAAACAGACTTCCCCCAAGACCTCTCCTGGCAGTCACAGCCACAGCTGAGACAGCTACCAAGGGGATGTTGAGGAGGCTACCCTCTCGTTTAGTAACTCCAGGCCCAATTTGAAACAGACTAGCAGAACAATTGAAGAGGAAGACCTAAAGCTGCTCCTATGCTCAGTGATTTAACAGCAAACACTGTCCTTGACCTCCAGGTGCCCTGGGACAAACACTGCTGCCAGCTGTGCGTCTGGCTTCGTGCTTCTGTGGCCACTGTGCTGTGCTCGGCAGGCCTGCCCAGCCAGAAGAGCCTTTCCACTCCATGAATTTCATTGAAATACTTGTACTAATGCAATCAAAAGTCCAAGAAAGCAAATACTTGAGAAAACTCTGGAATAATTTTTGGTTTTGAAAGATTTAATACTGCACAGAGCAGCCAGTATTTCAACAACTTACAGGTTCCATTTGGTTGGGTTTAGGAGCCCCGTACCTTTTTGCCTCTAAAGAAGCCTATGAGACTAGACTGCTGTTTTCTTATTGTAATAATGCTGCTTGTTGAACCATGTTATTGAGATAATAATATGCCAAAATATTACACACACATGCATATGTACACTTATACATAAATATATGTGTATATACGTATACAACTACAAGCCATTTCAATAAATTCCTTACAATGCTCTGCTTAAGGTGGAAGGATCCATAAAAAATAAAATTCTATAAAAGCCTCTGACATGAACATAAGATACAGAATGCTGAGCAGAGGAGAGAGGTTTTATGATCCTCTCCACTTAAATTAATGATTTCAGGATCTAAAACTGAAGGAAAAATACTGCCAAGATTAAACAGTGCAGCTACTCCAAGACCATTTCAGTAAACTACTCCTGGTTAGACTTGAGAAGAATTTGAAAAGCCTACTAATTAGTGTTCCCTTTTCTCTTTATATTATAAAACTCAAGAGCTGTTATGAACACAGCATAACTGAGTAATGACGTAGCATAACTGGGCTCGCAGGAACCTGGGTGGAAGTCCCAGTTCTGATGCCACCCTGCCTGGTGAACTCACAGATGTGACTCAACCACCCCCTGCCTCAGGTTAGAAATGAGAGGACCACCTGTTGCCCTCAGCAGCTGCAAAACGATTAATTTGCCTCTTCTAAATGGGCTTCTACACTTCTGGCTGCTCATTTGAAGCTTTGCTCTCACAGGTAAGGCAGACTGGGCCCAGTGTTTCAAGCTCCCAAGGGACATAGGACTGTGAAGTATCCATAACCCCTACTCTTCTGAGAAGCCCATTTGGTGCCTTTTTAAAAGAAACCAAGCTAGGCAAATATTGGCATTTCTCTTTGAGAGAGCTCCATGCTGACACGGAGGGAGGGAGATGCCTGCTACCTTTGTGGGAAGGAAAGGAGATAGCAACAGCATTGCCCCTTGAAACACAAATTCAAACCACAGCATCAAAAGAGAGGGAACATATTTTTGAGCTGTTAAAAGAGGGAACAGTATTTTTTCATTTGTGTCTTAGAAATGGGAACCATGCTGATGTAGCTGAGAGACATGAAGCGTATCGCAGCTTGCAGAATTACAAAGCAGGAGCTTTCTGCTTGGGCAATAGTGATGAAAATGTTTTGAAAACCAGAGGAAAAAAACCCAACAACATATGAGTGGAAGAAGAGAAAGGACAAAGGTTTTCGAAAACTGACCAGACTGGAGCATACACAGATGTTCTGGGGCTGCTCTACCCCTGTTATTTTTGAGTTGGTTTTGTTTTTCATAGATATAGGACATGAGCATCAGCTGCCCTAGCTGTTGAATTAGCCAGGACTAACATTACCAAGAAACAAAATGTACATCATCTTACTCTTAACAAAGAAACAAACATTAACATACTGTTAAGGGTCTAAGATATATTTCCAAAAGAGGATTACTGTATTAAGTACAAAACCCCTCTAATCCTATTTGCCTTCCGAAGACGTCATAGGTTTGGTTTTGTTTATAATTTTTAAACCGTACCTAATGACAGCCCGGGTTCACAAAA